ATCATTCATAGGAATGATAAACACTAAATTCAAGAGTAAGTAGAATTTCACTGGAATAAATGCTACTCTTTTTATGATTGTTTATTTTTTAAATTTTATTTTAATTTATTAGTATATGTGTGTGGTACATAATGTTTTTATTCCTTATGGGAAGTTATTATTCTTTATTTTAAGCTTTTCTTAAACTCATGGATATTTACAGTAATAAAATGTTCCTCTAAGCATTCACCATATTTTTCAATCACATCGTGTACTTCTTTAGTATTTTAGTTTATTAGTATATGTGTGTGGTACATAATGTTTTTATTCCTTATGGGAAGTTATTATTCTTTATTTTAAGCTTTTCTTAAACTCATGGATATTTGTTATATTATTCTTTATATTTTAGTAAATCCTATAATATGCATAATAAAATGGAAAAAAGTAAGAAAAACTTTCAAGGATAGAATAATTATTTGAATCCAGAATTATGGCCACTATTCCTAGTCAAGACACTATTGCTTCGGCAGACCAAATGGCACAGTTTTAGAGTGGTATTTTATAATCACCATTGTTTTGTTTAAATACCATATTCTGAAAAAAAAGATTAAAATAGTGCATCTAGAATGTTTTTCATTTTATAATAAAATGATACTTGCTAAAACAAATAAAAATGTGAGCATTTTCCCCTACCCAATGTTAGATTAATTAGTAACAGACTTTGTTGTAAGTAATTATTTGACTGAACTAAATTTCAAATTCTCCTTAGATTAATAGGAATAGTAAGCTACCATTTCAAACATCTGTCTCATCTCAACTATCATCTTTCTCTTTCAAAAGTGAACTCTGAAAACATTTACAGAAAGATAGAATTTCTGTAGGGGTACTGAACCTAAAAAGTACATTTGTTACATGTATTATTTTAAGTCTGTTAATTTCCCACAATGAAAGTACTAGTTTTAGGTTTTTACTGTACCCTTAAACATCTTATTGGGACCTATAGTTTCAATTATTTATTTCATGTTTTTGAGCAAATAGTTGAGCTCCCAAGGAAAGGGCAGACTCCTATTCTACAACCAGTTATTGAACTTTTGTTGTCATATTCTTTTTTTTTATAAATTTTTCTCCTCAATAACTTCTGATTTAGGTCAAGAAGTTCTAGAATGAAGAAATTCTATCTTTTTTTTTTTTCTATTTGTCTTTCACCCAGAATTTCCTAGAGAATTGGAAGCTCAATAATACTTCAAAGAGTGTAGAGAATGTAATATCCACAATTTTTGAAAAAACTATAATTGTCCTACTACTTTAGTATTTGATGATTGGGGAGAAATACAATTTAGAATAGTATTTTTAGTTTAAAATAGTCTATCCTAGTTCTAATTGCTTGAGAAAAAGTAAGCCTTTATTTTACTTGGAACTTTTACAGATCACTTTTAAAATCACCTAAGTAAATTTTCTATTTACCTCATAAGTTCTTTCCTCCTTAAAAATAAAGCCATGTTTTGAAGATGATAGCTAAACATATCACTGCAAAGCTCCAAATATTACTGGTATGAAGCTCAAGGTTCACAGAAAAATTTCAACTTAATATCTTTTTATCCTATATTTTTGGTCAAAGAACTATATGGAAACACTGGGCTTGTTTCAAATCTCCTGTGAAATGTTAAAAGTATTTATCTGTTATAAAATATTTTGGAAAAATTTCATATGATGGATGATATATTATGCCCCAAATCCATAATCTGATAAGCTTATGCTTATATCTATCAAATTCAAATAAGAAATAATAGCTGAATGACTGGAATTTTTATTCCAAATTGTGTCATCAAACATGTTCACTATAAAGCTAGCTTTTCTTCAGGTCAGCTACAGAAGCCTTGAAGAATATAAGCTTAAATCTTTAACTAGAAATTTTAGTATGCACTATTGTTTCAGTACTACCTGGGATATTTTATTTTTAAAAGCTAAACATAGAGAAATTGGCAAATTATGAACACAAGGAAATGCAACATCATTCTATTTTTTAATTATATATCCCAAGATTATTAGTTCAAGGAAGAATCATACATAATTATCTATTGCAAGTTATAGAACTCAAAGTGCTGCATATCCTTTGATACTTTTCTTCCTAGTTTTCTTCAGAGTGCCTAATAACTTGTTTTAAATGTTAAGAAATGAAATATTTGATAAATCATGTACATTATTTCTGAATATGAACAACTTAGAAATATTTATTTATTTATTTATTTATTTATTTTGGTATGAGGGATCAAACTTGGGTCCTTGTGCTTGCACAGCAGGTGGTGAAACCACTGAGCTAAACCCCTAGCCCAAGAAATTTTTAAAACTTTGACAAAAATGTTGCAATGTAACATACTAAAGAAGAATAGCTAATTCTGGAGCTCATGAATATGAACTCCAAATTTAAAATGTTTTCAGCTTTTTTGAAATGTAAAAATAAATTTCTCAGTTATTAAACTATTTTGGATCCAATAGATAAAAATAAAATTGCTCCAGAAATATTTACAGACTTATTTTTTATTTACATATTTACATGTGGCATCTAACCCAATTCTTATTCTGGATTCTTGACATGTATATTTTTGCTTTTTAAAACACAAATTTCTTTTACTCTCTTTGTAGCATTATTGACTATATTTTCAAAGTTTTATGTCTGGAGAATTCAGGTTTTAAATAATTTCCCATCACAGTTTTTGAACATGCAACTGCATTTTAATAAACTATTTAGTTCCATATTTGTGAAGAGAGTTTTATAGAGAAATCAGTACCTTTACAATTCTTAAAAGAATCCTTCTTTAGTGTCTGTAGTCAGTACTATCATGTGTACTTGTCTCTTTCTTTTCAATGCGGTGAATCTTCCTAAATGGCAGCTTCATTACTATAGTGAGCGGAAATGATCAAGTGGGAACTGGGCCTAACTCAATCAACCTTCAGACACACTGCCCTGTACTGTACATACTGACTCAACTGGATTTCCTTTGATGCTTTGGCAATTGCTCTTTTGTTTGGTCTTGAAAAACTCAAAACTATGAAATTTAAAGTTCAAATCTGAATGCTATGTTGAGTCTACTGTAAGCTGTAGTGAATCTGCACGTTATCCAGAGTCAACTGCTTTAGCAGTGCATTCTGCAGTTTCCCTCACTTCAAGCATATAATCAGAATCCATAAATGAAGGTTGTTGTGTTAATATGCTCATCCTAGCTGATTAGGAAGCCCATTCTTTATCTCTGTTCAAATGGGATTTAATTTGGTTTTCCTGGTGAAAAGAAAAACGGATGAGAACAAACCTATGGAAGTCTCTTTATCTTCAATGTTAAATGATATCGTTTGAAAGGTGAAATACTCTTCCCAATAAGAAGTAAATGTGTGCAAATGTGTGAATTTTAAAGTGCAGGCTATGGCAGCAGAAAAGTAATATGGGTAAAAGCGTTGCTTAGGATTATTTCCAGATCTTGTGAAGCATAGGCTGTAGGTCTTTGAAAGAAAGTAGACCATGTAACCTTGATATACAAGGCTAAAAGCAGAAGAGGACACTGAAAGAAACTGTTAAAGAAAAAATTTAAAACAGTGCCCCCCCCCATATTCCTCTTTTTTTCTTAATGTTATGGATTCCCTCAATATGTGCTTAATTTCTGCAAGACGGATTCTAGATGGCGCTCTAAAGCGTTTGCCAGAAGGTGGCGGCATAGGCCCTCATTGCTTAGAGCTGTCCTCGTTGCTGAACTCAATTTTGGAGATTGAGAGAAACTCAGCGGCTAGCGAGGGATTCCACCAAGTTCTCCCTAAAGGTGTTCAGGCTCTGGTAAGAAACATAAAGGTTCGTATAAAAATGCAACGTATAGGCTAGATATTTTCTTCCTTGAATTTACTCTCCATAAAGCTATGGCAGGTGGCAGTGTTTACTGAAATTAAGAGTAGTGGAGACTGAAAAGTGTGTGTGTGTGTATGTGTGTGTGTGTGTGTGTGTGTATGCCGAATATATATTAAATTTGCTTCACTCTAACATTCAGCTGTTTACCCATCTTTGTCCTTTAACATATCCTTTAAACCCCACACCAATTGCCAAGTTTCTTTTTTTAAAAATTTTAAGTCATAGGCAACATCTTCCCTAAGGGAGTCAGACTGGTGTGTTAGATGAGGAATGGGAGTGATTTAAAAAGCTAGGAGACCCTTCATTTTCTTTCCATCAATTAACAATAATTAACCCAAAGTGGTCCACCTTTTCGTTCAGACTCCTTGTGTATCCTTTTCTCCTTTGGTATTGCCACTCTGGGATGCTGACTCTAAGAATTTGACGGAAATTCAAGGCAATGAGTAATTAGGAATGCTGTATATTCTTCCTCCTTCGAGTTTGGCTGGGTGGGAGGCGGAGTTTATTTGTTACAACGTCGGTCTCACCAGCGGATCGGGTGTGTGTAAGAGAATCCTGAGTCTCTGTCCACAAAAAGGGACTTGAATGTAAAGACGCCGAACTGGAAGGAGAAGAGGGCGGGGACCCAGAGGAAAGCTACACTCAGGGTTGGGGAAGTGTTAGGAGGGGAGGGTTAGCGTGGGAGGGAGGGAGTCTGTTGGAGCGACACACGGAGGGATAAAGATAAAGAGGTGAGAAGGAAGGAGACAGAAAAGGAAGGCTAGTGGGACCAAGCAGAGAGAGGAGGCAGAAGAGAGACAGTGGGAGAGAGGGAAGAAAGGAAGGAACAGGGAGAAAAAGGTCACAGAGTGACCCTGAGGATGGGATTTCTCTATTCCAGGTAATTCTGGAATTGGAGACAGCTAGTGAGGAGACTCCTGCTTCAGCAGCCAGTAGGGCCCGAGCAAAGTACAATGGACAGTAGGAGACAGATATTCCAGCTACCTCTCCGCCACCCAGAGATCCGGGAAGCTGCTCTCTCAGGTCAACTCTAGTTTTCCAGCTGGAGTCTCTGAGCACCCCGGACCGCGGGAGCTACGAGAGCGCCTAGAAGCTCCTCCTCCGAGATGCACACACCACAGCAGTAAGAACTTCCCGCCTGAGTTCCCCTACCCCCTTCCTCCGAAATTCCCGGGAGAAGGGGTGGAAGACCCCAGGGGGAGGGTGAGGGAGATTCTCCGGCAGCGCTTTCCCCTTCCTCCTCCGCCCCACCCCTCCGGGCGCGCAGGAAGGCATGGATGTGCTCAGCCCTGGCGGGGGCAATAATACTACGTCTCAAGGACCCTTTGGAACAAAAGCCAACGTTACTAGAATTTCTGACGTGACCTTCAGCTACCAAGTGATCACCTCTCTGCTGCTGGGCATGCTCATTTTCTGCGCAGTGCTGGGCAATGCGTGCGTGGTAGCTGCCATCGCCCTGGAGCGCTCCCTCCAGAATGTGGCCAACTATCTCATCGGTTCGCTGGCGGTCACTGACCTCATGGTGTCAGTGCTGGTGCTGCCCATGGCTGCGCTGTACCAGGTGCTCAACAAGTGGACTCTGGGCCAGGTCACCTGCGACCTGTTTATCGCTTTGGACGTGCTGTGCTGCACCTCATCCATCCTGCACTTGTGCGCCATCGCTCTGGACAGGTACTGGGCCATCACGGACCCCATCGACTACGTGAACAAGAGGACGCCCCGGCGCGCCGCTGTGCTCATCTCGCTCACTTGGCTCATTGGCTTCCTCATCTCCATCCCTCCCATGCTGGGCTGGCGCACCCCGGAAGACCGCTCGGACGCCGACGCGTGCACCATCAGCAAGGACCATGGCTACACTATCTACTCCACTTTCGGCGCTTTCTATATCCCTCTGCTGCTCATGCTGGTTCTCTACGGGCGCATTTTTCGAGCCGCGCGCTTCCGCATTCGCAAGACGGTCAAGAAGGTGGAGAAGAAGGGAGTTGACACCCGTCTCGGAACTTCGCTGGTCCCGCCCTCCAAGAGGAGGGTGAACGGGCAGCCAGGTGACAGAGACTGGAGGCGGGGTGTGGAAAACAAGGCCACGGGGGCTCCGTGCGCCAACGGCGCCTTGAGGCAGGGCGACGAAGGCGCCACCCTGGAGGTGATCGAGGTGCACCGCGTGGGCAACTCCAAAGAGCACCTGCCTTTACCGAGGGAGCCCAGTGCTGATCCCGGCGTCCCCACCTCCTTTGAGAGGAAAAATGAGCGAAACGCCGAGGCGAAGCGCAAGATGGCTCTGGCCCGTGAGAGGAAGACAGTGAAGACGCTGGGCATAATCATGGGCACCTTCATCCTCTGCTGGCTTCCCTTTTTCATCGTGGCCCTGGTCCTGCCCTTCTGCGAGAGCAGCTGCCACATGCCCACACTGTTGGGCGCCATAATCAACTGGCTGGGCTACTCCAACTCTCTGCTAAACCCGGTCATTTATGCCTACTTCAACAAGGACTTTCAAAACGCGTTTAAGAAGATCATCAAGTGCAAGTTCTGCCGCCCATGATGATGAAAAGCCCGAGAATAAGGCTAAGGGACCAGGCTCATTCACTCTGCCTCTCTCAGCACCCTGGAATCAACACCTGAAATAACTTACACTACATTTCCTCTGACATTTTTTTCTGCTTTTGCGCCCTGGGTTTCCGACCTCGCCTCCTCCTGCTCTCCATGAGAAGGGGCTCCAGGTGTGGTACTCAAGCGTCCGCCCCGGAAATTCCCGGGCTCGGTGAGAAGCGACAAGGTCTCAGATTTCTGTCTAAGCATCAGGTTTGGTCTCATTATTCACCTCCTCCGTCAGCCATTCAAGGAAGAAAACCCACGCAGAAAAATAAACTGCACACAGTCGCTGCGCCCCCTAAGGGCTTCCACCTGCCTGCCCCACTTCTAAAACTTGGACTTTGACGTTTAGGACGTAATTTCGTCTCCTTTGCCCTGTTACCACTCCTCTGGTTTCATTGCTTCTTTGCTTTCCCTGCTTGGCTCTCTGCCTTCCCCCCCGTCCGTAAGCACTCACTGCAGATCTGGGAGGGCGGTAGGGTCTGCTTTTCGCCAGGCGGGTGGCTGCTCCTTGGGTAGACTCGCAGAATAACCTGTGCAGTCCCACTTGCTGTGTTTTCTAGGACTCAGAACAAGCGGCTGGAAGGTGCCTCTTAGAGTGGACTTGTAAGTACAAAGCTGGGCCAGTGGGGCAGAGCCAGGAGAGTGCGGTCCTTTTTGTCCGTGCTTGCCTTGGTGTCAGCACTCACCAAAGAAACTGACAATCAGGGGAAAAGTGGACTTTTGTTCTTATAAGTGGCCGGCCAGTCTTCACTTCCTGGCATTGCCACTTATCTACTGCGGGAGGCGCCCGCCGGCCGCGTAGTGGGCGCCGGGGACGCGAGAGGCCTGCGCTCTGCAGCCGGGTAGCACGTTCTGCCAGCCGGCCTGAGTTCCAGGGGCCAGGGTGCTCTGCGTAGCTCCTGGACGCGGTGAAGCGCGGGTGGGTCAAATTGGGGTTTCTTAAAGCAGGGGACACCTGGTCCTGCGGGAGCTCTTGTTAACCCAGGAGACCCAGAAACACTGAAAGCGGGGGCACGGCACGGGGAAGGGAGGCGAAGAGGAAAGCTTCCAGCAGCTCTCCTCCTGGAACCTGAAAGGGCAGTTTATGGATGGGATGCAGACTTTTCACTCGCCTGTTTGTCGCTTCTCTATGGGAGAGTAGCTCTGTTTAGTGTTGTCTCCGCAGTGCACTGGATTTGTTCTACAGGACGTCCAGAACACAAAGTTAGCAGAATGTTTGTTTTCATGTGAGAATTCTGACTTTTCAATGGAATGGCTCTCACACAGCTGGCACTATCTGTGATCTCAGAGGCTGAGACCTTAAATAGCGGGCCTCAGAGGGCTAGTTAGGTGCAGCCCTCTCTGAAGAGTCTCTGAGCATCTTGTAGGGGATTATATTTGCTCCCTGACCCAGAGGTTCAATATCCCGAGTCTCCTCCAGGAGCCTAAGGGAAACCAGCTTTGTGTCCTTTGAATTTATGGAACATTCCAAGCTTTCCCTCACTCACCACTTACTCTTCCAGAGTTTTCATTCCTGCCGAGTTAATAGAATCTTTGCTGTGCCCAGAAAGGGAAGTTATTTCGGTGCTCCGTTTGAAAGTAAATCCCAATCACATGAAAGGAGATCAAGCAGTTTGTCATAGTTAGATCTTATCCTTTAATTTTCCTAATGAGCAATGGTTTTATTCTCCAGTAATTACACAGTTATTGAATCTTACTCCCCTCTCCCTTCAATATACCTTTTAAATGTTTGCATCTGCTGTTTTGAAAACCGTGTTGCATTTTTACAGGTTGCAAAATTGCCAATGAAATATTCACTTGTGTTTATAAATAAGAAGGTGAAAGGACAGCTCTATCACTTGAAGCCATTGTATTGCTTTTCAAACTTAACAAAGCCTACATTTTGTTGTCTTTTTCTCTAAACTGCCAGTAGGTATCAAATCTCATTTAAATAAAGTTTGCAAATATTTGGGATGGTTTGACTATGCATATATAATGTTGGTGGGGGCTCTGGTAGAGGAGGTAAACTTCTGTGCAACAATTATTTGTTGAATAACTCAATTTCCTTTTTTTCTCGAAATAATCTAAAGCAGAGGTACAGGAGAAAATGAACTTTTCTGTATGTTTTCCTGAATTTTTAGAACAAAGTCTATATTTAAATTAATTCAAATCCAGAGTTTGGTCCTCCAAAATATGCTTTGGCCAGCAAATATTACATTTGAAATTTTGAGACTTCTATTTGTTTGTGTCTTTTACAGGATTGTATGGCCATAATTTTGGAGCATTTGTTCCTGCTTTGGAGGCTTTACACAAGAATGGAGAAGGAAAATCTAATTGGATTGTAATTGCCAAGTAATAGAGAAATTAGAGAAATAAGTGCAAAAGGACTGCATAGCTCTAAAAAGCATTTGATGCTTTTTTTTTCTTTTAAAATACTTGTATTAAGGTTAAGTATTTATGCATCAAAATTGACCTTCACTTCTCCTTGTAACAATAAAGAACTTTACTAATGGCAATGCTACAATAAACTGATAACAGTAACATATGCATCTTTGTTTAATCAGAAAGTGTGTACTTGTATTTATTCATAAAACTTTAAAATTAAATATAAAAGTGCAATTATTAGGAGAAGATCTTGCTGTATGGGTAGAGGATCTGACACTTAAAGAAATATTTAGTTTACAACACCAAAATTTATTCTAGATAAGTGATTATTTTAAAAATTCTGTTTCTGGAAAGAGGATATCACATCTCCTGGGTTAGGCACAAAACGTCATTTTCTCTGGCTCATACCTTTAGATATTTATCTAATTCATATGGACTGGGTAGGGAACACATAGAGCAGAAATGCAGCCTCTAGTAGAAGCAAAAGGGGCCCATCTTGCATTTTTAAAGCAGCAAGGCAATGCTGAGACCCTCCTCTGTCTTCCCTATAATGCACAACTAGAAGAAAATTACCTCCTTTTGTTTCAAAAGAAGTAGCTCATTGTTTAGGGAGTTGTCACCTCAAATAAAAGTGGAAGTGCATTTTCTTTTCTGGTTATGTCTCATTTGATAGTGAGATTATGCATAAAAGACTTACTACTATGTTAAAGGTAATTCTGCTTTTTTTTTTTTCTTCTCCCTACTGGGACCATCAGTAACATCTCTTGTTTCTCTGGTTATATTTGTTTATCTTACTGCTTTCTGGTGTCAGGGTGATTTCTGCACCGCAAGAAAGCTCTATTAAATTTCAAGGGTAAACAAAGGCTATCATGAACACAGCAAAGGGGGCTCAAAAGCTGCATGAAGCCTGATTTAGGTAATGTGTATATATACACATGTTATCCCATTAATGTTCAGAAAAATCAAAGGAATTTAGAGAATGAGAACTATCTGGATTTCTCATTTGAAAAATGTTACATAAATTCATTTCTGACTCGAAGTAAAATGTTGAAGGTAGCACATTTTTGTTTGGGATTGTAAATATTCCCTTCTTAGCCCTTGTTCTCTCATCTGGTCTCTTCCGCCATGGAAACAATGGCTTTCTGCTTTCTATCAGCCTTCATGAGGCTTCTATTAAGACCACAACTAAAAGAAGGACTTGTTACAATCACTTCAAGTGTGACTAACAAGTCCACTAATCTATTACCATTGATCAGATGGCAACTGCTGTTATAGGAAATAATACCAATGAAATATTGTATCTCCCAACCTGTATGATACTGTATGATACTGTATGATATGCTGAGTTCTTGTTCTCTAAAAATCAAAGAATGAATTCTAGGAACAAAGGAGATTAAGACATATTTATTGATAGGAAGATATTTATAGAGAGGAAAGCTCCTGAGGGGCAGAAGGGGGATCTGAGTGGGTAGCCTGGGGACCCCAGTTTAAAGAGGAGTTTTATAGTTTGATACCCACATGGGTACAACACGGGCCACAGCCACGATCACTCAGTAATGTTACAAGTATAGTCACTTAAGTAATGGTGGGCCAGTTGGGAAAGAAGTCATGTAACAAGTGTGGATTGAAAAAACAAAGATTCTCCTAGGAAGAGGTGGGTCCAGAGGTCTCTGGTCACCCACCCTGGTGGTTGATGTCTATCTAGACTTCATTAGGCCCAGTGTTTGTTCTTAGAAGTATGTAGATCTGGTCAGCTTGTCTTTATTTTGAAGCCTGGTTTTCAGCCAATGTGTCTGGTTGTCCCTGCGGTGTGTTCCACCTTTGTCCTGACCCTCTCAAGGACCTAGCTCTATCTGAATGCCTATAATATTTCTACCTAGCTCATCTATCTATAATACTACTACTTGATTATGTTGAAATATGGGACTGCACATAAGCTACTCTTAACATGAAGGAGTTTTCAATATATTTGTGTCTGTAGAAATAAACTGTTAAGGCTCAGAGTAAGTAACTATTCATGGTATCATAAAAGTGCCATAAACAAGATGAATCATAGAAGTTTGGTCCATAATCATTCAGAGAATAAAGATCACTGTGAATGGGTGAAGAGTGTAAAGAAGGCAGAGAAGGCTATATGAAAGATCCAGGATTAAGTTCTGGGCAGATAGGGATTGTATGGATAGGTAGGTATTTTTAAGAGGTGACAGAAGATCTTCCTGGTAAATGGGGGCTTGGGATTTAATTTTTGTCTGGATTGATAGATATTGAGGAGCAGTCAGAGTAGCTTATGAGATGATGATAAGGGAGAAAGATGCAGGTTCAAAACCTCCCATGTATTGGGTCCAGGTGCAGGATCTAGAAGGATGGGAGAGACAGAAAAGTAGAGAGAAGCGGGGGGGATGGATTGGGGAAACTAGACAAGGGGAAGAACGTTCTAACATAGAGCAGAAAAAGTGACAACAGGATCACAAGAGGTAGTTACAAGACAAAATAATTCACCCTTATGTAATGCTTGAGATTTTTCTTACACATTGTTTGCAAAACAAATGCCACTATGATTTTCTTCTATGTGTCTACCTCTTTTGCAGTGTGATTTTCAGCTTCTTCTCTTAAGACTTACAGGGTGTTTTTTTATATCCGAGCCTGAAGTGATCTTGTGACTTGCTTTGGGGAAGCACTGATGTGATACCACTTCTGATCATGGAACTCAAGAGGCTTACACTCTTGTACTTTACCCTTTAGAACCGTGAACAAGATAGTGCTCACTTTCTGAAGGCTGAGAGATTAGACAGAAAAAGGAGCATCCTATTTGAGATCATCTTGGACCAGTTATATTCCACTTGTCTGAGCAGCTAATGGCAGTCACAAATGGGAGCATAGCCAAGATTAGAAGAATCTCTCAGATTCATTCAATCCAAATTGAAAACTAAATAAATAGTTGTTATTATAAAGCACTAAACTTTGGGATAAGTTATAATTCTGAAAAAAGCTAATGAATACAGTCTCATATCTTAAGGAGTTTACACTCAAGAGAAGAGAGATAAAACAAACATCAAAACAAACTAGATAGACAGATAATAGATGGGAATCTGGTAAAGAATTTAACTGGAGTGAAATACATAGGAGTGGTGAGATGGAGAGAACGTAGATTGCTATATTTTGTAGATATTCAGGGAACAACTTGAAAAAGTACCAGAGGTATGAGTTTGAGGCTTGGTGAAAATGAACACTTCAATAAATAAATCCTATGAAATCTTATGCAAAAACTACGAAGGGTTTATTTCAAATAGGAAAAGCCAAAAAATTGCAGAGTTGGTCATTTGCATACTCAAATTCTAGGTTTTCCTATTTCCCAATAGAAGGCTTATTTCTATTGAAAATCTAAGCACTCAGACCATTCAAAATAATGCTCAGTGAGGTCATGGGAAATCCTGAGTGAGATCTTACCCAATTGCAACTGAATCTCTGACATATATCCATGAAAATATGGCACATATATTCTATATAGGAGAAAAAAGTGCCTAGACAAATCAGGTGGCCTGAATTTAAATTTGTACTATAAAAAAGGAGGTGTGCAATCTTAGAAAGGGGGTGCCCAATCTTAGACTTGAACTTCCAGAACTAAGATCCAAAATAAATCTCTACTTACTTCCTAAGTAGCTTGTGCCTGGAATTTTGTTATAGTGATAAAAACCTGACAATTTGATGAAAAACTCTTCTTTCCTCATTGAAATTTGTAGCACTCTTGATGAAGAGCATTTGAGCATATATGTGTGAGATTATTTCTGGACTCTCATTTCTATTCCACTGGACCATATAGCTATCCTTATGGTAGTACCACATGATTTTATTAATGTGGCCTTTTAAAAAGTTTTGAAATTGGGAAACGTGAATCCCAAAATATTGTTCTTTTTCATCCAAGATCATCTGAGATATTCTGGGTCCACTGTATTTCCATATGAGTTTTAGAGATCAACTCTAAATTTCAGGAAAAAAAATTCAGCTAGGATTTTAATAGGGATTGTGTTGAATCTGTAGATCAATATGTGAAGCATTAAAACATTAACATTATTAAATCTTCTTATCTGTGGACATGGGACGACTTGCCTCTTTCTTTTGGTGTGTTTTAATTTATTCTAATAATGTTTTATTGCTTTGAGGAATGTGTGTTTTGCATTTATTTTGCTAAATTTATTCCTAGCCATTTTCTTCTTTTTGCTTTTATTATAAATTAAATTGCTCTCTTAATTGTATTTGCAAGTTGTTTATTGTTAGTACATAGAGATAAAGTTAATTTTGGATGTTGATCTTATATTTGAAGTCTTATAAATTGTTTATTTTAGTATATTTTAGTGAATTCTTTAGGAATTTTTATATTCATAATCAATGGTATCTGCAAGTCGGTATATTTGTGCTGTTTAAAAATCTCTGGGTAGTTTATTTTCTTTAATTGCCCAATTCCCTTGCTAGAACCCCTAACACAAAGTTGAATGCCAAGAGTGGACATCCTGTCTTGTTCAGATCTTATGGAGAGAGCATCGGTTTGTTTTTTTTTAACCTTTTTTGACATTAAATATGAGTTTTTCATAAGTACTTTTTATTGGGTTGAGAAAGTTTCTTATTTTCCTGGTTGGTTGAGAGTTTTCTCTCTTTTTAAAAAATTTCACAAGCATTGACTTATTTTATTTCTTTTATCTGTTTAACTTTGCAAGTACAAAGAAGTTGGATCAAGTATACTTTTTGGCATTTAAACTTTTCTATTTATTTTTATTAGTATATGTTTTTAGTACATAATAATTACATTTATTGTGGGCAGTTTGAGCATTACATAACACATCTTATTTTTATTCCCTTTTCATCATAAAAAGAGTTTGGATATACTAATTTTTTTCTATGTACATTGTGCTTATTGTATACCTTTTATGCTTTGTAGTATTGACTATGGTAAATAATACAGATTTTTAAAAAATACACAAAACCAAATATGCAGCCTTGGGATAAACCTCACTTGATCATTCTTTATTATTCTGTTCATATACTGTTTTGGATTTGATTTTCTAGTTTTTTTTTTTTTTGAGGAATTTTCAATCCATATTCATAAGTGGTATTGATGTGTTATTTTTTCTACTTTTAATTGTATTAGTAAATATTTGCTGTACATAATGTTTACATTCC